CCCTGCTCGCCACTCCTGCTCCACTCCCATTGTGGCTGGGTTGTGTGACTGCCTGGAAGGAGCTGAACCCTCATCACATCTATGCCCAAGCCGTGGTAGGATGCTTGTTTGGGAGCGCTGCCTTCATTAGATGGCTGAGCACATAGGTTGAACCTTTGTGGATGGAGCATGCTGGCTGCTCAGTTTGGGGGCTCTTATCTATAGTTATGTAGCCAAGGCACTCAAGCCTAGCTAGCGATCCAGTCTTCCTCAGTTCTGAAAACCTAACTAGAATCATTTAAAAAAATCTGACTACCAAAAAGTGCTTAGTGCTGTCTGGAAAGAAGAGAGAAATCACATCTGCTGTTCCGATTGTTCTTGTTTGTAACTTCCAAAAGCTAACAAGCATACTTTTCTCATGTATGGTGCGTGCACCTTTTACCTACACCTATGCTGAACCAACTCCTCTTTGAGAACATTGCATTCTCTCAGTTCTGTCCCAGGTCAGTTTTACATAATGGGTATTTTTTTGTTCCTTCACTAATGCCTAGAGAACATCACATCACAGTATACCCTCCCAAATATTGGATAATGAAATATGACAGTGTAACAGGTGGGTTATTTTGTTGTTGTTGTTTGGTTTGTTCTGTTTTACTGAAACAATTAGAGATTTTTCTTTGCATTATTTCTACCAGGAGCAGTCTGTTAAGCAAAACAGAAAAGCAAAGACAACCATAAAAAGCAAAACAACCATATTTCCCCCTTCTGCCCTAAATCTCAGTCTTACTTTATTAGCAGAGTGCTTTTTTTAAATACATGAAAATAAATCAAAGCTTGTGGCTTTAAAAATCAGAACTGCAAGCACAATATACATGTATAGTAGGTCAAGTAATAGATTTTCTTTATTACATTAATCTATTAATATATTTTTAGAAATGCTAAATATTTAAAGCTCCAGACTGAGAGCTATTATTAGGGTGATTTCTTTGCTTAAGTTGAGTTTAGGTAATGCTTTTGATCTCCATTTTCATTCACATAACTGGAAATTAGTTTTTCAAATGTGGATAGCTGTTGAGAGGAAGATGTGGCTCAACAAAAGAAACTCAAAAAGCAGATCATTCCTTATCCCTCAGTGATGGGAAATTGTAATTCATTTAGGCAAATTGTTTAACAACATAGTAGTAGTATATCACCAGAGCGTTTTCATACTCTGAGCCCTCTTGTTGTTTTCTAAAAGGCTCAGTAAGATCTAAGGACTTTTAAAGTGCATCACTCAAGGTTTGCTGATTTCCTCTAAGTGAGCAACAAGAACTCTGTATATTTCAGTAGATATGTATGTATGCATCTGCATATATGTCTCTATATATACACATATATAGCCATTTAAGTGTATATGTAACTGTATATATACATATAGGTTCATATCTATATAAATTGTAGGCCAGGAAAAGAATCATATATACAATCTTTGTTCGTCCTCTTCTCCAGAATTCCTTGGGTCTATCTTTATATTTTTTTGTTTTAAATCTTTTGGGGGGGCTTAATTAAAGCTCTGCTGGAGCTATTAAATTCTGCCTCAGATGGTATTTCAACCTTATTTTAAGATAATACAGAATGTAATAACAATAATAGGAGAATATAATTGACATTATTGAATGAGTTTATCTTTTTTTTTTTTTAACATAAAATAGCACATATAAATTAGAATCCATGTGTAAAAAATGTACATGCCTCAGAAAAGATGCACTGATCTTTTGACTTGGATTTGGACTAGAGGAAAAAAAAAGAGGAAAAAGAGGAGGAAGTGAGTTTATGTGAGAGACTGGAACAGAGAGAGCTCAGGAAAAGCAAACATGCTTTGCAAAAGTAGTTCAGTTTGCATAATTTATTTCAAATATATATCCTCTCTGGTGTGTGAGTGCTCCCTCACTTGCTCCTCCCTCCCCTCCTCCCCCTCCCCCAGTCACTTTTCTTGTAAAAATAGGAATTCCAGTGCTGCTTGCATTCCAATATGCCAGTTCAAACAGGGTGCATGGCAGTAACTCAGCACCTGTGTACTTGACTACTTACTGCTGATGAGCCTTGCTTGCCGGTAATCTAGATTTATGGTAAGTCTACCCTTTTCCTTCATCTACAAGGTCCAGGGACGTTCGGATAGCCAATCTGCCCTTAAATATGTCTCTGAGGAAATGGTGCTAATTAGTATTGGAATTTACAGCCTTCCATTTTATTGACTTGTCCTACTTTCTCCGATAATTAACTAATGAGTAAAGTAATGAGCTATGTTAGTCAGTCATGATGTTCAATTAAACAGCAAATCAATTATTGAAAATAGTTTTGGACAGCTCTTGTACTGTCATAAGGTAGGAGTGTGGATGTATGTGCATGCATGTCTCCAGTGCATGCCCTAGATGTGGCAGCATCTATCTCCAGAGGGTACCTCACTGCAGGGAAGAAGGGGGCTGCATGACCACAGCCAAAGCAGAGCACTGTCCCCTCTTTCCCACTTTGGTTGCCCTCTGCTCAGCTCCACTAAACTACACCATGATCTTGGGGGTTCCCAAAGTGAGCTGCCTTGGATGGGGTGGAGGTTCCAAATGCTTGAGAAATATGAGATGGCTATAAAACAGTGAGTACTTTTTGTAATGCTGAAGACAGCAGAGAGATGGTATGAGGTACATGTACTCATTCACTGCTCTGACCCCTCTGCCTCTTTTCTTGGTACATGCAACACTTTCCACTGGGAAGGCATGATCGTCCCAGAGCTGGCAACAGAGCAGAAGGGACCAATGCACAGATAACGAGTCTTCAAAATCCTGCCTCTCTCTTGGTTACAACTGTACTTAGGAGGGACAGAGGGGATGGCAGAGAATTCAGAATGTTTCCCCAGAGGGCTTTCCATACCACCCTGAGCAGCAGTTGCCCACTGAAAGGGGTTCTCAGGATCACTGTGTCACAAATCTCCTGCACCATGCCCACCAAACTTGGGAGCACCACTGCACATTGACTCCTGTGTTGTGTTTTGCCATGGTGAAGCAGTGACTCAGGGCTTGACTTCAGTCCTTACAACGCAGGTGGCACCTTTTTCAATGGGCCAGCCACAGATCTTTTTGAGAAATAGGCAGTTATAATCTCCCTGATGTATGTAGAGTTGAGGCTATGAAATATGAGGGGCATACAGAAGGCTGTAATTTGCATCATCATTTAGTAACTTGTCAACTCTTCAGTGTTACTTATCCTTTCATTTGACCTTTATACCCTTCCTGTTTCTGTCAGGTCCTTTCCTTCCCAATTTCTACTGCATCAGCTGATTGGTGCTGTTGACCCAGCTCCCAGCAGCTCTAGGTGCTCTCATGTTCACCTTCCAGGTGACACCCAGTGTTGCACTTGCTGTTACGTTTAGTTCTTCTTCTGTTGTTTTGTACTTTAGCATTATTTCCACATACAGCAGGCAAACATGCCCTAAAAATTCAGCAGTCCAGGAAAAACTTTTACATTCCTACACTTTACCAATACAAATTAGTTTTGACTCAGCAGCAGAATTTCTTTGCAGATGGCAGTGATACCACGTTGAGCAATGTGATGATTTAAAGAAGACCATAAAAAAATAAAAGTTCATACTGGAAAAATTAGGTTGGCCTTAAAATTTTAACCTAATACTGTCAGATATGTTAAACGAAAAATAACACTCCTAAAGCCTTGCCGTGCTCTCTTGCGGTTTTGTTTGCATAGCAAGGTGGCACAAATAGTGCCTTGCCATTGTTGTTGGCACTGTAGGCATAAAGATTTGCCCTATAACTATTCATTATTAATAATAGTCATCGCACAACCTTTTTTTTTTTTTTTTTTTTTCCCCAAAGGTAGTGAGCATGCATAAAGTTAACCCACCTATCCCAAACTGAGAAGGAAAAGCAGGCCAGTGAGCAAGGTGCTTGAATATGGAGACAGCAGACTGAGTGTTGGCTGTAGCCATCCATTTGAATTGAGATTCATTAGAGAAACAACAAGCCAAAACAAATCAAACACAGTTCAAGAAAAGCAACATAAAGTTTTCATTTCCAAACAGTTTTAATTCACTGTTTGTGCTCTTTACTGAGATTATGCAAGGAACACAAACATTCCCATATGAATTAAATTACAATTTACATATGAATTACATTAGAAATATGAGCTACACTAAAGAGATAATTAGCGCTGTCCTGGGTTATGTGTGCACAAACAAAATTAAATAAGAACAATTTCAAAGCCAAATTTTGCTTTGCCTTTTCAACTAAGCTGGTTTAATCAGTGATAATGACTGAAATAAATCCACTCCATATAAAACAATGCACAACATATCAGACTGTGTGAAATGCCATTACTAAGTCCCATGCCTTGGTAAATCATGCAGTCAAGCAGGAGTACAACGTCATAGACACTATGGTACAGAAAATGTGCCACTGCTGGGTGCCAAATGCTGAAGGTGATGGTCCCTGAGGCTTGCGAGGAAGCAGCGTCTACAACAGGCCAGTGTTGCCGCTCTGCAGATAGTGATGGGGGTGGCCACAAGGGTGTGTGCCAGGGATTTTTTAATCTTTACATAGGAATGAGAAAGGTCAGCCCTAGGAAAATACCAGTGCTAGCACAGTGCAATGGGAGGGAGGGGAGCAGGAGAAGCAGAGATGTTGGGAGAGGAGCAAGTGAGAAAGATAAAAATACCCAGCAGAAGAAGACTACCTGCACAGCAGTGCCTTAGCCCCTAAATAGAGCTATAGTTTATGACTACCTTGCCTAATGAGCTAAACTCTGGTGACCATAAAACTGAAATATAATTATGACATTAAGGATGCCTATATTTGAACTTAATTATTAATTAATTTAATGAGAGAATAGGAGGTTGTAAAATTGCTAATTAAACGGCTCTGTAAAACTGCAGACGGCAGAGGATTTACCAAATGATGAATCCCACAACAGTATTTGGGCTATATCAATATTCTATTAATATACAGTATGCCAGAGGTACTGGCTAGTACGCTACTCACAGTTAAGCCGATGTGACAGGCATACAGAGTGAAAGAAAATGAAGTACATAAAATTCCAGATGACAGCAGCCTTGAAGACGATCTCTGCCCCCGCCTCTGTGGCAGCTTCTGAAATCAGTTAAACAAACTCAGAAATGCAGGATAAAAATCAATCTTACCATTGCAAATGTGAGTGAATTGGCTCGAAGCAAACGACCCACCTAAGGTCTTAGGCACTGGGGTGTTGTGCTGCTCGCTCTCCGCTTGCATGCAGGAATGGTCAGAGCTAATCTGGACTTAAGTGCCACGAAGCGGGAGAGATGCAGCCTGAGAGTGTGTGTGGCGTGTGTGCGCCTGCATGTGAAAGAGGAGCTGAGTGAGAACAAAAAATAACTGTCCCTGTGTGATTAGCGAAATGAAGCTCAAGTGAACCTGCAGGAGCTGCATTCAAACCTGCGGGGGACAATTTCAGAGATTCCCACACTGCGCTGTGAGCATGCTAAGAATTTTCACTGCAGTGTTCGAATGGCAACGCCATTTGGATGACATTCATTTAAAAATACAGGGAAGTAGTGTAGGAATTTTTTTTCTTTAAACATAGAGCCTGATTCAAGCAATGTCAAAAGAAAACTCATGGGGAGGTCTCACTCTGTGTGTGTCTAAATGTCTGTCATGACTTATTACTGGGGAAAAAAAAAATAGGTATCCTTTATAGTTTTGTAGGAAACAATGAAATACCACTGAACAATGCAACACAAAAACACCAGGTCAAATGTATGAGGTATGTTTTAGTATTTGCAAGAATTCTTAAACTTTTTTTTTTTTTCAACCTGCTATCTGGCACGGCTATCTTAAACATTTTATTTTTTCAATGTACTGTTGACAGCACCAAGAGGTGATTTGACAAGAAAGATCAAAGTAGCAATATCAAGAAAATAGGGTGGGAGGAGGAGATGTGCCCCCCACTCTAAGGAGAACATCACAGGTATCACATTAATATCTCCCATTTCTGGAAAATTGATGGAGGCTAAAGATAGGAGTTTTGATCCCAGATCCTTTGTGAGGTCTGAAGAAAAAAACAATCAACTTTTCTGCACCTGAGTTTTTTGTTTGTTTGTTTTTGTTTGTTTGTTTGTTTTGTTTTGTTTTTGGTTTTTTTGAGTAAGGAGTAACAGCAGTTTGTTGCCACCTATTATCAGTTTGTTGCCACCTAAATTACCTTTACATCAGTAAACAGAAGCATGTAAGCAATTTCTGAGAAGGTAATCTCTAGAAGTCACTTCTCAGTGACTGGTTTGGGACAAGACTTTAGGAAGTGTCACTTCTTGTTTTGTTTTTTAACATCTATCTTGGGACATATGAACAAGGTAATTTTAAGGAGCTATGTGCTTCACATGATAGTCTGGTTTAGCAGATCTTAGATACTAACACAATTCACAGTCTCTCGATACTCAGAAACCTCACTGGTGAGCTTTGTGTGAGAATCTATAGCTAAAAGAGCTTCTGCTTTAAAAAATCTTGATACCAATTTAGAAAACTACTCTCTCTGGTTTCCATCTTATAATATGTGCAATTAACAAATATGAAAACTTCTATGCATTTATTATCATTGTTTCATGCCCTGCAGTTTATAGACTCAATTTCTCAAAAAGTGACTCTTGCCAGAAATAAAACCAGACAGATTTCTTCTATTGTGAGACCAGCTATCAAGCCTTCCCCACTGACTGAAGGCTTTTGCGAGGTCTGAACTGTTTCATTCATACAGGTTTCGATCCCAGCAACACAGACAGTGAGTTAGCAGTTGGAATTTGTGGGTTTCTAGTAAAAAGTAAATGCCAAATGAGTCATCATCACTATGTTGCAAGTTACATATTTAGACTATTGAAGCAATTGCCTTGTTATGTTCCCAAGAGCAAACATGGGCTGAACTTTATTACTTGTTTATATACTTTTTGTATATGACTTGTGCTCCTTGCCAGAGAAATTATACCTGCAGCACAGCTGCAGGCCAGAAGGGAAAGAGGGGTACAAAACTAGGGGATGTTCTTATCTCCAAACTTTTGAGAAAGAAATATCTGAGAAAGGGAAAATATTGGTGAGAGTTGTTCTCAACCAAAAGCCTATTGGTGTTTTTCTGTGATGCTTATTGCCATGCAGTTATGAGGAGGTCCTGGGCAGGACCTTCATTGTAAGGAGTATGAGAGGACCAGCTGACAGCTCTGAACCTGAAGTTCATGGTTGTCTTCACAAAACTGGTCAGTGTAGACCCTGACAGAACATGTTGTTGTCTCCTTCTGCTCCGAAGGCTGCAGAACTGTCATCTGGCTGTGGTTGGAGAATGTGGCAGGCATCTCTCTGGGTACCAGCAGCCATGGTAGCAGTGCTGCTCACAGCCATGTACAAGGGATAACCCCGAAGTGGTCTACAAACTGTTACTAGCAACTTGGCCAGCATTTATGTATGTCACAGTCGGGTGTTGTGAATTCCTTGAAAGTTATGGGTAAAATCCATCTGTGAGCCAGAGCTCAAGCATGGAGAAGGGGTACCTGCCAGGCTTGATTACCAGGAAAGAGATCCAAAGTAAGAACAGGCATGATCAACTACTACTGGTATTGCAGTCATGTGCCAGGTTCTTGCTGTGATACACATGAAAAGCCTGTACAAACCCCAAACTTTCACTGATTTGATTTAATTTCTAAGGATTTGAAATGTTTATTTTAACTAGGATTTAAATCATCAAGAAGGTTAACGTGATTTAAGTTAGCTGTTACTTTTGTTTGCATTTGTCCTTTTTTTCTCCCCTTTAGAAAGCTTGACTTTTGCTGATTGGTAAGCAGTAAAATATGTGGCTTACTTCATAGCAAGTTGCCCACTTCATGCGTTTTTCACTTATCAGAAAGATGCATTATATCTTTACCCATTTTCTTGTCAGCTTTTTAGTTTAATATAGTTTATGATCTTTTTTTTTTTTTTTTTTAACTTTTATATAATACTAGAATGTGGTGAGTGTATCTCCTTTTTATTAGGTGAATATAATTTTTATTTTGGTTGTGTTATAATTTATTTCTATAGAACTTGCAACATCTTTACTAATGTAGGGAAAAACAATGTAAAAATAGTTCTCACTAAGTAAATCTATCTTAAACTTGGTGAGTATACAGAGTGAAAAACGAAATTCACTTGAACAGATATTTTTTCATTTAAAACAAGAATATTAAATAAAAGAAATAGTGTGATTACATACTTAAGCTAACTGTTCCTGTTCATAATATCCATCAAAGCCTTCAAACTGGTAGAGCTCAAACTTTTAAATCTACTATGTACGTCAGTGTTGAAAGTCAAAACAAGCTCTTTGGGTTTTTGTTTGTTCTTAGTTTCTGATTGGTTTCTCAGTGTTGACTGAAGTATATATTGAACAGAACTGAGTTCATTGAAACAGAAAATAAAAATCCTGAAAACAAAATTACTGCACATTGTACAAAAGTACATTGGTGTTCAAACCAACTTTAGTTTATAGTCCTTTACCAGTGATTCCCCAAGACTGGTGTTTTGACTTGTTTTTAAAACCTAGAGTGAAACTAGCAGTGTTTATAATCATGTGGCATTGCAATGCTAAATGATAGAGAAGAGAAAAGACAAGGCCCGATTGATAAAAACATGTTTTTTTTTTTTTTTTTTTTTTTTTTTTTTTTTCCTTTAGTTTGAAATAGAAGATCTGGAAGTTGAAGTCAGTGAAAATGGAGGATTACTGAATTTACCAAGTGAAAACAGAATTTACATTAGTTTTTGCTATTGCAGTCTTTCTTTAAATCAAAAGAAAAATGAAGAAATGGAATGGAATAAAGCAAATAGGAAATGGTTAGATTCAATGTTTCCCTCTCAGGAAAACATACCATTTATTACATTTGGTTTGAAATCTGAAAGCTAAAAGGTGTTCTGCCAGATATATGAATTACCAGTATGATAAAAGTTTGAAATTATATCAACAACTCTGTTGTTCCACAAGATGAAAACAGTGAAGCTACATCCACAAGATAACTGAAATGGGACGTGAAGAAATATATGCATATATTAATCAAGTAAACCCGCGTAGCATTAAGATGGTATTTTTGACAGATGGTTTATGATCACATGATATTTGAGGAGGTAAAGTGACCTGATTATTTTTTGTTAGGTATTGAGATCACAAGTTCTTCTGGTAGGAAGGTATAGGAAACAACCATAGGGTCTAAAATCTGAAGAAAGCTCATTCTTAAATTTTATTTTGCTGCTAGATCACACTACTAGTTAATCTCTCTAGCCAGCTTCCTTCACTGTTTATTTATGAACAGTCTGTGAACTTTTCCATACCTTAATTAGATAATTATCATAAACTCTCTTCCAAATGCAAGTGTATAGAGGACAGCAAACAGATTTCAGCTGCTTAAGCAAGCTGCCATGACCTCTGGATATTTTGCTGCAGGGAATTACACAGCCTTTCAGATGATGTCACAAGGAAGGTGGAAGCCTGGCACGGTTGAACCCTTTATGCTTGGCATGTGTTTGAGAAATCTAGCTAGATACTTTTCTTTTGTTTCAAATCACTAACCAGGCAAGCATCATAAACAAGAATGAGTCAGTCTTTCTGTTCCCAAACTCCAAATGTATTAATCTTTTCCTTACTCTGTTGGTTTTGATTTATTTGTGGAGGAAAAGGAAGGTAAGAAAGCAGCCTGGCTCAGGTTAGCTGCATTCTCCTGCAAACCTCAAGAACCAAGGTACCTCTGTTTTCTAGCACTTTAAGTCTTGCCCACAAGGAAAGTGAAAGCAGATCAGCCTTTGCTTTAGCATTCAGAAATGGTTGTTCCCACAAAGCCTGGGTGCCAGGCAAACTGCTGCTTTGACAACAGTTTGTCCAAATGAAGGAAGGCATCAGAAATAAAATCACTCTACAGGCAACCTGGGACAAGCATGTAGCTTTTTTCTTTCTGTGGTTGTTAATTGTGTTCTGCTTGAACACAAAATTTGTTACAACCGCGGTTGGTCAGAAGAGTGTTTAAAAACTGTTCTAAATACAGTTCTCTGTCCTAGATTTCAGCAGGATTATGCATATAGTTAAAGCTATGTGCCTGTTAAGTACTAGACTGT